GGGCCAGTATTCGTCCTCTGAGCTATCCCTGTGGTTTTCAATACAGAGAATCTGCACAGTGTTGGCTAGATATATTCCCAAGTATTTAATTTTTAAAATGTTCTTATAAGTGGTGTTTTTAAAATATTGTTTTTCAAAATCTTCCTTGGAGTTCACAGGAAATTTATGGATGCTTGCACCGTCCTTGGACCCAGCAGCTTTCCAAATTCTATGACTAACTGTACTATCCTCTTGTATATGCTTTGAATGCTCAAGTTACAGAATCCTATCATCTGTGAACAAAAACCACTGAGCGTAAGAGAAGCAAATGAGCAGGAAAGAGATGGATTCTGGGTGACAGAAAGTGAGTCACACCTGGTTTAAACACAAGTGACTGAGTGGCTGGGATCCACGTGAGGAATGGGGCAGCCTTTGTAGACTGTAGATACAGAACTGAGACGCTGGACTCTGGGCACAGATCTGACAGCCTCTGTCCACCCACTCTGCACCCCTCTCTATGGGGCAGGAGAAAAGGGACGAAACCAAGCCCAGCCATCACGTCATTCTCAATGCAGAATGCCCTGCAGGACAGAGAAGAGCTGCCCGCAGGGCCCCAGGACTGTGAGGCTTTCTGAAAGCAGACTGTGTCATTGTTAACCGCTGACCTCTCAGCAGCCCAACACTGACCTCACCGCGGTGCCAGAGGACCCCTTAGAGTGGGAGCTGCAGCTGCTGTGCTGTTGAGTCAGAACGGACCCAGAGCTGACCCCCCAGCACGTTTCCAGCATCCGGCTGAGATCGCCACATGTGTGTGTGTCAGAACGGACCCAGAGCTGACCCTCCAGCACGTTTCCAGCATCCGGCTGAGATCGCCACATGTGTGTGTGCGGCGGGGAGGAACCCCGCCCTGAAAGCACTCGTCAGCTATGGTGGCACGATGGGGTGAACACTGCGCTGCTAACTGAAAAGTTTCAAGTTCGAGCCTCCCAGCTGCTCTGTAAACAGAAGACGTGGCCGTCTGCTCCTGGAAAGATTACAGCCTAGACTCCCCCACGGGGTGGTTCCGGTGCTGCCGACGGGGTCACGAAAAGTCGGAGCTGACCGGATAACAATGTAGTTCCATTCGTGGTGACACTTCAGAGTAAGAAGCCACCAGCCAGAGGGTTATAGTGTCCATCTGTGGGTCCAGCCTGAGTGGCCAGCCAGCTCAGTGCGGTGCTCAGTGCAGTGCTCAGTCCTGTCCTCCTCCTCAATGCCTCATTAGATCTGCGGTGGACCATACACTAAGGCCCTGGGATATCCTGGTTCCAGGAGTGGCTGTATTATTACAGCTCTCCATTAACACAGAAGGACGAACACTGCACTAGTCTTAATTAAATTGCTTCCCCAATATACTAAGTACAGCCTGAGGTGAGGGAACACACAAAGCCCTCATTTAAGATGACGTGGCCAAACAGTTCAACCTTGTGCTCACACACACGCGTGTGTGTGTATGTGTGTGTACACGTGCACGCACACGCATGGGTGCCTGGAGCAGGAACCTACTGACCGAATGCTGGCTGTGCCCCCCCTGCCCACCTGCCTCTCTGCTAAATGATAATAGCGACCCTCACCTTGCAGAGGTGCTGAGACGAGTTACCACAAGCGAATGGCTGCAGTGAGCGTTTGGTGCACAATAACAATCACTGGAAAGCCCAGGTGATGTCGAGCTCATGACAGTAAGTGCTAGGTGTGCACGCCAGGTAAGGTGTCTGCACAGGCAAGTGCAGCCCCTAGTCTCTGAGACCACACTACACTTGGAAGCGGAGGGGGGAAGATGGTGTCCAGCTCAGAAAGCAAGTGGACCGACCTCTGAGGCCCCTCCAGGCAGGTGGCTGCTCCCCAAAGTCCTGCCATTAGGTCCTGCACATCCCATCAGGTGGCCGCTGGCAGCCTAACACTGAAGCCAGGTCCGTCCTGTGAGGAAGTTCTGGGCACAGTCCTGTTGGAGCCCGCCTCCCCTCCCTGTTTATGGCAGGAGGGAACTCCGCCTTCCTTCTGAGAAGACTCTGTCCAGGCTCCAAGTGCTAATTTCTCAAACAAACTCTGAAGGAGAAGAAGATCTGACACTTAAAGCCAGGAAATCAAGTTGAAAAGCCATGGATTACTTTGCTGCTTATTGTACCGCTGAAACACGAAATAAGCTATTCTGAAATTTTAAAAATTCTCTTCTAGGTGAGACTGAGAATGACTGGATAAATTACGTATACTGCATTAAAACAGATGAGGGACAGGACTGTTTAAAAGCGATATGATTGGGTGTTATTGTCATGACAGGAGTCCAGACTGAAGGCTGCATAGTGGAGTGCACTTGAGGGGAGGGATTGTATAACAATGAAAGAGTTTTTCTTTTACTTTTCAAAGAGAAGAGTGAAGGGGGGGAAGGTTGGGTGGGGAGAAAAGTGCAACAATGAATGAATGGAAATCCAAAATCTCTGTAAACGTTCATTAAAATGAATAATAAAAAAGAAATTAATTTTTAAAAGTCCCTTTTAAAAAAAATGTTAAATCCCCTTCTATAGGCAATAAAGTAGTTAAAGATGAGAAAGTGAAGGGTCAGGTAGGCACAGGTCAACACGCCTGGGCGATCCGTTAGCTGAGCAGTGAGCTGCAAAGGACTAAGCTCCCCAAAAGGAGCCACGCATGCAGCCCATGGTGCGCTGAGACCCCAGGACGTGCTTCTCCCACAACTCAACCCACCAGAGGTTCCCGGGGAGAAAGACGGGCAGGCTCCTCCCACTAAGACCCGGAGCCCAGACAACCTGACGGAGGGTCACTGTTAGTCGGACTGGACTCCACAGCTTGCTACTGGCTTCCAACCAGGTGTTTTCAGTGCCTTCTCAGGTATGACAAAGGTGGACTAGGCAGATCCCCAAAGGACTAGCGCTTTGAATGACCGTGCTGGTGACAGGTATTGAACAAACAGCTCTGCCTTGGAGGAAGCGCAGCCGGCTGGCTGCTCCTGAGAGCAAGGATGGTGAGGCGTGCTCTCACGCGCTTAGGGCGTGTTCTTAGGAGGGACGGGTGCTTAGAAAAGGAGGGGGTCAGCTTAAAAGAAGACCCTCACCGAGATGGACTGATATCAGGATATACCTGCAGGCCAGGTGCCTCGGAGATCGTGGAACAGGGCAGGACAGGCAGGTGTTGTCTGCTGTACACAGGCTGGCTGCACACGGAGCCCACGCGACAGCGCCCACCACCTCCCCTTCCTCCACCAGTCACCTCAGTCCCATCGCCATCAACACTGTGTCCTCTGTCCTGCCAATTTAGTCTCAGTTCCTGAGGGGCCATGTGTCCCCCAAGTCTCAAAGCAGCCCTCAGCACGTATCTGTTGGTGGTGTTGTCAGGTGCAGCCGAGGTGAGTACGACTCACAAGGACCTGTGAACAACAGACGTGACGCCTGCCCCATGCTCTGCCGTCCTCATCACCGCTGACAACGCTGACACACTTGAGCCCATCTCTGTGGGGCCGGTGTCGAGCCATGTCATTGGGGGTCTCCTTCTCTTCCACCGGCATTCCCCGCTTCCAAGCATGAGGTCCTTTTCCAAAGAACAGCCTCTCCTCACAACTGCCTGCAGCTTGGGAGAGGAAGCTTCTCCATCCTGCCTCCAAGGAGCGCTCCGGCTGCACCTTCTCCAAGACACATCTGTTGTTCTTTGAGCAGTCCACGGGATAGTCAGTACTCCTCTCCAACACCACAGCTCAAAGGCACCAGTTCTTCTGCAGTCGTCCTCATTCACCATCCACCTCTCTGGTGTCTAGTCAGTGACTGAAAAGACCATGGCTTCAACCAGGTGCACCATGGACTTTAACCGCCATCATCGCTCCTCAGTACTTCAGACAAGTTCCTGACAACAGACACCCCTAATGCAATGTATCTTTTGATTTCTTGACTGCTGGCACCAAGGGTATCAATTATGGATAAAAGTAAAATGAAATCACTGATAATGTCAATGTTTTCTCTCCATCTATCATGAGTTGTCCATTGGTCCAGTGGTGACTATTTCTGTTTTCTTGATGTTAAGATGTAATCCATATTAAAGGTTATAGTCTTGACCTTCTGTAGCTAGTGTTTCAAGTCCTCTTCACTTTCAGCAAACAAGGCTGTGTCATCTATGTAATACAGGTTATTTATGAGTCTTCCTCTGATCCTGATGCCATGTTCTTCTTCATAGAGTCCAGTTTCTTGAATGATTTGCTTAGCACATGGATTAAGCAGGTATGGGAAAAGGATACAGGCCTGACACACCTTCCTTAATTTTAAAGCATGCAGCCTTTGTTCTGTTCAGACAACAGCCTCTTGGTCCAGGTATAGGTTTCTTATAGCATAAGTTAGTGTTCTGGGATTCCCATTCTTCTCAATGTTTGCTATAGCTTGTTATGGTTTATACAGTCAAATGCCATTACAAAGTCAATAAGATGCAAATAGACATTCACCTGGTGTTCTCTGCTTTCAGCCAGGATCCATCCGACACCAGCAATGATACTCCTGATGTCATGGCCTCTTTTAAACTCAGCAGCTTGAACTCCTGGCAGTTCTCTATAAACGTACTCCACTAGCTATTTTGTCATGATCTTCAGCAGTATTTTGCTTGCATCAATGATATTAACTATTCTGTTGGATAATTTCCACAATACGTTGAACCACCTTTTTTGGACATGGATCTCTTCCAGTCAGTTGGCCAGGTAGCTGTCTTCCACATCTCCTGGCAAAACTAGCAAACATATTCAGGGCTGCATCTGTTAACTGAAATATGTATATTAGTATTGTATCGATTCCCAGGGCCTCATTTTTCCGGTGCCTTCAGCACAGCCTGCATTTCCTCCTTTTTTATCACTGACTCTTTCTCATATGTTATTTCTTTAAACAAGAGCTCAATACACACTGGATAAATGAATGGAGATGTAGATTTAATGGCTCTCATCTTGCACCTTAATTTCTTAGAGTCTGCTTTTCCCCAGGGAGGGGGTGGGAACTTACAGTGCTGCGACTCAGCAAGGCCTTCTTCAAGGACGCCAGGTGAAGGTCGCCTTGTCTAGATAACTTCGTGATAATATTTTCTTTGTAAGTTTGATTTCTAGAGCTGTGACAAGAATTTCTACGGGAGGAAAGAGAACAGAGGACACGATTAGGTTCTAAAATTTCTCTTTCTTAACGCAAGCTAACAGCCTCCCAGTAGCTCTGTGAGTGCTTCCTTTGTGGATGGCTCTTTTTCCTGAATGCGTGATGTACTGTGGGTTGTGTGTCCCGCGGTCCAGGTGATGCCTCATAAGAGAGGTGGCGTGGGTGTGGAGCTCATTGACACCAACTAGCTTTGCTATATAATTAAGCCTCAGTCACGGTGACGAGCTTGGGGCAGCCCCTTTGGTCATGTGTGTGTTTCCTCCTAAACCTGACTGGGAAAGGACCACTGGTCACTGTCCTCCTACATGGTCAGTGGGCAGCGTATTGTAGAGCGTTCATCCACACAGTGACTGAAACTGTGATGCTACCAGCACTCATGACATCTCCCTGTCCACTGACAGTCGTCTCGTCACCGCCACCTCTAGGGTCAGACCCTTCGCCTGCCTTCAGCAACCTCGACTTTTACCTCCTGAGCTCGGGACCCCAGTCCACCCTGGAAGGCCTACTGTTGTCCACTCTGAAGCTCAAATCCAACTTTGGTGCAAATTCTGATCAGAACAGGGCCTTTATTGTCTTGTTACAAAACACACTGGCCTCAATGCTCAGAGTTCAATTAAACAGTTCTTGTTTTCTATGACATGAACAAGATAGCTGCTGAACAATTCTCACGTTCATCTGGGTTTTGGTGTTGGTGGTTAATGCTGTGTCCACGGAGCCGTATTAGCTCGCTCCAGCTGAGCAAGATAGAGAACTGTACACATGTACTGCTGCTTTCACACACATGCCAACTGGTCCCACGCTGGCTCCTGGTACCCAGGCTTCCTACAGATCACTAACTCTCTCTCCCGCAGCACCTTGAACGGTTCATGTTGGGGGTCCTTGTGGCATAATCCGAAGGGCGCTGCACTGCTGACCGAAAGGATGTACTATCTGCAGGTTCGATTCCACCAATGTCTCTACAGGACAAAGAGCTGCACTCTCCTTCAGTGCCATTTGTTGTGGTTGTTGTTGTTGTTATGTGCTGTTGAGTCGCCTGCCACTCACAGTGACCCCATGTACAACATCTCTGAACCCTGCCCTGTCCTGAGCCAGTCTCGCCGACTGACACACCTACCCCCATTGCCCCAGATACTGCGTCAATCCATCTCATCCAGCGTCTTCCTCTCCTGCGCTGTCCCTTCACCCTTCCAAGCATGATGACCTTCTCCAAAGACTGGTCCCTCCTGGCCATGTGTCCAAAGTGTGTGAGACGGAGCCTGAAAATCCTAGCCTCGAAGGAGACACTTAGTTTGACCCTCCCCGGGACAGACCTGTCTGTTTTCTTGGCGGTCCGTGGTGTGCTCAAGACCCCATGCCGTTTACGGCCTCAGATTTCACACTGGAGCATCAGCTGCGAGTCAGACACAGCTGGCAGCAACCAATAGAGTGTGAGTTTCTAAGAGGATACTGAGGGGCATCCCTAAACTCCACTGCTGACTCAGGAGCGAATGCTTCGCCACTACCCAGAAAGGTCAATGGTTCAAACCTACCCAGCAGCTCCGAGAGAAAAGACCTAGCTGTCTGCTCCCGTAAAGACTGCAGCCATGGAGACCTACTGGGCAGCTCCACTCTATCCTGTGGGCTTGCTGTGTGCCAGGAACCATTCGATCGCAGATGTTGTTGTTGTTATGTGCCGTCGAGTCGTTTGTGACTCATAGCGACCCTATGTACAACAGCCCTAAACCATGTTCTGTCCTGTGCCAATCTCATTGCCTCTGACACACCCATCCCAATTACCCCAGTCACTGAATCAATCTACCTCATAGAGGTTCTTTCCCTCCTGCGCTGTCCCTCTACTTTACCCAGCATGATGTCCCTCTCCAAAGACCTCTCTCTCCTTGCAATATGTCCAAAGTATGTCAGACGAAGCCCCAGAATCTTTGCCTCCAAGGAGTAGCCTGGTTTAACCCTCTCTAGGATAGATCTGTTTGTTTTCTTGGCAGTCCATGGAACATTCAATACTCTTCTCCAGCACCACAGCTCAAAGGCATCAATTCTCCTTCTGTCCTCCCTAGTCATTGTCCAGCTTTCTGATGCATAACAAGTGATTGCAAAGACCATGGCCTGTATCAGGTGCACCTTCGTCTCCAAAGAAACAATGATCACAGATGAGGTATCAATTATTTCAGATCATCACACATGAGATGGAAGTAGCATTTGTCACTTTGCTGTGACAAACAAAAAGGTCTCTTGACACCCTTAAATGCCCCCAGAAGGGTAGAGCGATAGGGAAGTCTAATATTCCAGCCTGAATCTACCATGTTAAAGCAAATAATGCTAAACATGAATTTTTAATAATCCTGGACAAGATGCTTGTTGTTGTTGTTGTTGTTGGGTACTGCTGAGTCGTAGATGACTCACAGCAACTCTGTGAACGAAAGACCTGCACACTGTTCATAGAGTTTCTGGAGGCAAGTCATTTCGGAAGTGGCTGCCGCTCCTGCTTCCAGGCTTGTTTTAATCGGGGAGCTCCACCAAACACTGTCCACCATGAGTAACCACTCTTTCATTTGACACATCAGTGTCACAGTGTTTAGCACCACAGCAACCACGAGTTACCTCTGTACAGCAATGCACAGACCAGTGCTATACCACCTAGCTGGCTGACAAAAAAAATGCTACAAAGAGTTCTTTGCTGAAGGAATGAACTCATCTAGCTGCACCCCAGGAACCAGGAGGGGGAGCTCTGAACACCTGAGGGCTGGCAGCCAGGACTGCACACTAATATTCATCAACCCCTGAGACGGGGGGGCTCCGGGAAGTGGGATTAGCTCTGTGGTGGACGGTCCCCTGTGACAAGCACAGTGCTCATCGTGGACATGCTGAGATTGTAAAGTCTGAGTTTTGGTGGTTGGTTTTTTCCCCCCTCTGAAATGTACAGGCTGCTGCTGTTAGGTGCTGTCAAGGCAACTGCAACTTATATTTGGCTGTTAGTTCAAGACGTCCACCACCATACAGAGCATGCAGGGTAGAGCGGAAGTCCAAGTTCTGGATCGGCACGTTCCTGAGTGCTGTTTTAACACTTCAGGGTCCCCGATACAATTGATATTATCCAATCCAATTATATTAGGGACTCCAAGGTATTCAGGACCCCAGGATACTAAATATCCCATAGACTGCCAAGGGAACAAACACATCACTACATCTTGGAGAAGGTGAAACCAAGATGCTCCTTGGAGGCAAGGATGGTAAAGCTTTGTCTCAAATATTTTGGGCATGTTGTTGGGATGGAGTAATCCTTGGAAAAGCACATCACACTTGGAAAGGTGGAAGACCCAGGGAGGAGGAGGAGGGGAAGACCTTCAATGAACAACGGGCTCAAGCGTAGAAGAGATGACAAAGGTGGCAGAGGACAGGACAGGGTCAGAACCATCATTCACAGGGCTGCTATGAGTTACAGTGACTCACGGGCACATAATCACAATACGACTGAACTACGGCAGCTTAGTAGTAAGGAGTTGTGCTGCCAACCTAAAGGCAGGTGGTTCGAATCCACAAGCTCCTCTGAGGAATACAGGTGGGCAGCCTCCTCCTGTGCCATTGTAGGATCTCTCAAAACCCACTTGAGGGTCAGATGGCCATCAGTTCTAACTCGACAGCACACAATATAACAGCTAGTTGAATTTTACTTGGATCCACAGTCAGCATTCCTGGAAATCAGCAGTCAAGAAATCAACAGAGCTCCTGTTGTACCAGACCAATCAGCCATCAAGGACTTCTTAAAAGTGGTCAAGGGTAAAGATGCCACTCTAAAGACTAAGGTGCTCCTGACCCAAGCCATAGTATTCTCCATCACTTCTGAGGCACATGAAAGTTGAACAATTAATAAAAAGACCAAAGAAGAACTAATGCCTTTGACCTGTGGCATTTGAGGAGAGTACTGACTATTCCATGGACTGCCGAGGAACAGGCAAGTCTGTCCTGGAGGAAGGACAATCTGGGTGCTTCCCTGCAGGCAAGAACAATGAAAACTGCCTCAGAAACAGGGCCACGATGCCAGGCGGAGTCAGTCATTGAAGTGAGGTACCATCCTGGGAAAGGTGGAGGGCCAGGGCGAGAGAGGAAGACCCTCAACGAGAAGGGTGACTCAGCGGCTGCATCCGTGGCCTTGACCCTGGTGAGGGCTGTGAGGATGACACTGGAGAAAGCTGAGAGCAACTGTTCGTAAGGCAGCTACGGGCCACAGTCACCTTGGGCACCCAGTAACCATGATGAGTGTGACACCAGAAACCCAGAGTCAGAATGGGCATCAGAATGAAAACAGAAATCACAGGCCTCCAGGCAAGTTGTCCGCACGGCCACACCGCCCACTCCAGGCCCAGTGGTGGGAGAGCAAGGGGCCGAGCCCTGTTCCTTTCCCTGGAACATTTAACAAACGTGTTCTCTACACAAACGTCACAGGACCGTCCATGCGTGGAGAACCAGGCGGGCAGGGCCAGTGTGAAGGTCGGCCGCGTGTAGGCTCTTTCTGGTTCCTGCGCACCAAGGCGCGCGGCCTAGCTCGGTCACTGCTCACCTCCTGGGGCCTTACTCCTCCCTTGCAGAAACCAGAGCAGCCGTTACAGCTACTGCCTACAGGGTACGGGGGTCCTGCGGTGGAGCGCGCTATGTGTGAACCTGCAGGCTCGAAGTCTGTGTGTGAAGACCACCCACCACTCTGGGAGAAAGATGGGGGACCATCTCGATGGCAGGGTGCGACTCTGAGAGTGGGAGGGAGCCCTGGTGGGTGGCGGGTATGTCACGTGGAGACTGTCAACCACAGGTCCTGCTCCCAGCCCCCCAACAGCTCCAAGGCAGAAGAGCCAGGCTGTCTCCTTCGACCCAGATTTACAGCCTCACCAGCCTGAGGGAAGGAAGGGCGTCCCAGGTCAAAATGGACTTTATGGCAATGGGTTTGGGCTACAGTGTAGGGAAGTGATAAATAATTGTAGGAAAAAGTATTTCTAAATGGAATCCCTGAATTAATGCTAACCACTCAATGCAAACTAATTTGCTGTTCAAAAAAAAAAAAAATAATAATAAAGAGCCCTTCGAACAGTCTCTAATCTTTCGTATAAATGTGACCAAAATGACATCCTGAAGTAGAAGTGTACTGAAAATACCCGCGTTTGAGTTTGGAGGTTTTTGGTTCATTGGCTTTGTGTTTTCTTTTTATTTTTAACTTACCTGCTTCTTTTTGTCGTGCGAATTGCATTGCTCACTGGTGTCTTTGGGTGATTGTCGAAGATTGTCAGAAATTGCTTCCAGTTGACTTTAGCTGTGGTTTTAAATCCAAATCTGAAATTTTTAAAAAGGAAATAGAAATATTATTATAAACATTTCTTGCCTATAACCCTGCATGGATTAGATGTTTAATACCAACTGAGAATGACAGCAATGAATTTCTATGAAGCTTCAAACCTAAGGTAAAATAAGGGTTTAGTAAAATAGTACAGAAAACAAATTTCTTTTTAAAAAAAAAAAAAGGAAGAGAAGAACAAACTGAATCTGCATCTCTCTGTGTCTCTGATCTCTTAATGTAACAGACCAGGAGGAAGAAACAAGGATGAGGCCTGGTGCTCATGGAGAACTTCTTCAAATCCGTCATTGTTTCCATTCCTGCAGGAAGAATGGTCATGTGAAGAAGTCCACGTCCCAATTCCTGGCTTAGGGGACTTCGCAGATGTGACTAAGGTCTGGACCTTGAGATGTCATTAGTGTCCTGGGCTAGTGAGACATGATCACATGAGGCCTGTTCTCAAAGGTCCAGTGGGGGGCAGGGGGGTGTGCATGTATAATCGCAGAGGAAGGACAGAGCGATATGGCATCACCGCTGTAAACACAGATGAAGACGACCAGGCCCAGGGACCCGAAATGCCTGCAGAAGCTGGAAAGGAAAACAGATTTGCGCCTGAAGCTTCCAGCAGGGAATGCAGCCCTGCTGGTGAGGAGACCGCAGCCCCGGAGACTCTTCAGCCTTTCTAGCTCACGGAACTTTAAGATGATGAATGTGAGTTGTTTTAAACCACTAACTGAAACCCGAAGCCAACCACTCCCACCATTGACCTGGATTCCTGGGGACCCTCCCAGGCCTCCGAGGCTGCAGATCTCTCCAGGAGAGGACTGTCCATTTTTCTCTCGAGGATCAGCAGGCTGGCGGGGCAGCCCAGTACGGAACCGACTACTCCACAGGCCTCCCTCCCAAGCCGCTAAGTTTGGGGGGATCTGTTACAGCAGCGACAGAGAGCAAATCCCAATTCAAAGTCATCGCTTCGGAAAAGTCTTCAAACACAAACTTGTGTAGTTAATCATGGTCTTGTGACTCAGGTTCTATGATCGCAGTTGGGAGGTGCCAGCAGGGAGCACAGCTCTGAGGCTGTGGGTCCCCGGAGGCCAATTCTCTGCTTCTTCAGCGCCCAGCAGTATGGCCACAGACACACCGCTTGCTACCTGGAGTCTCCCTTTGCTCACCTGTAAGACGGGAGCCGCACTACGTGACAGAGACTACGGTAAGGAACACGGCAGATAAGGCTAAGCCACATCACCGAGCCGGCCCACCAGCAAGCACCGCCAATGACCTCGCACCCACAGAGGACAGGCCGTCCTTGAGTTACAGAGTGCGCCAGCCATGGCAAGCTGCACCACAGCCACACTCATTTTTACTACATGCGATGTTGCAGCGGGTAATTTGCTGACGCCATCATTCTGCAATGTTCGCTGGACAGATGTTTTAGATGTAATGTCTCCAACCCCCAAAGGCAAATGAAAAATCAGATTTTTAAAGCTACTAATAACAACAGGCAATAATAATAAAAACTTTGGAAAAGCGCTCGGGCGCCATGGTGCAGCAGGAAGTTGCCCTGTTAACTCGAAGGTGGGGCCCCTCTGAGAGCGTGAAGTCCCCAGCAGCTCTGAGGGGGACATGGGCAATCTCCCCTCACATGGTGCACTGTCTCCAAAACCTCGCTGGAGGCTCACCTAGGAGTCACATCTACCTCAAAAAGAGAGAAAGAGGTGTTGAACGTGTCACCACTGACTAAAGACAGTTGCTGGATGGAAACTTGTCATTGTTTGGGGGTAGTCTGTAAATTCCCTTACACAAAGCATCCTTCAATGGTCAAGAAATGACCAAGTGAACATGAGACAGACCACCCTGCTTTGACCGTAGAAATCAGCAGCTGCAAAACGCCTGCTTAGACAAATGTAAAGACTTAATTAAAGGAAGTGTACGGAAAATTCCAGAAACTAGTGGCTATGAGAAGATTTCACACGACCCCCAAACACAGGAGAGAGTGAAGGATGTCCACGCTCCACCTCGACCTCAGGAGGCTTGCTTTCTCTCAGACACCTTGATGATACGTCTCCTGGATATTTAGAGGCTGACAGATCAGCACCTGACTCCCAGGGAAACAGGAGTAGCCAATAATCAGCAAAAGCCCCTGGGTGGTCTGCTCTAGTCCAGTAGACTCACCAGGACACTGGTGCACGAGGGCTGGCTGCATGGAACGGGACGTGGGCTCTGTGAGGACAGTGTGCACACAGGCGAGGACTCACGGGCCATCTCTTTTCTCGTCCAGGAAGGCCATGTGGAGGAGTGAACAGGCCTGGAGAAAGGAAAGCTGTAGCTACTCCTGTCTCAGAAGAAGTAGGGCCAGAATGTTCCTCTCATGTGTCCCTGGGGGCCCCCATAACACAGAGCATCGGGGGAAGAGGAAGCCCCTCCAGGAGGTGGACTGACAGCGCAAACAGGGTAACAATCGTGAGGACAGAGCGGCTGGGCACGGCCTCGTTCGGTCGTGCATGGCGTCACTGTGAGTTGGAACTGGCCCCACGGCGCCGGACAACAATAACCCTATCCATCCCTGATCCCCAGGGCCTGAGGATGCAGTAAGCATCCAGCTGGAAGCACTGTGGACATGAGATGCTTGGTACCAAGGGGACTCAGAGCCAACCAGCTGACTCATGGAAGTAAACAGCTTTCAGCATGCATCAGGCGCACAGAGCTCACAGCAGTGCCCGCCAAGTAAGAACGTGCATGCGCCACTGCCCCCTCCTGCCTCCAGGCAGCCTAATCCTTGGACAAGGGCTAGACGGCGTTTGCCAAGAGAGGAAGGACGGAGGGGAGTTCAAAATAAGGAAGAGGAGCAGAAACCATCCATGTCCTCTGTATTCTTGCCGGCACAGGCCCTAGCAGGGACAGGGGACACCGTCACGTTTGAAACAAGCTCACAGCTTTGATTACTGCGGGGTACTGGACATCACGACCGCCCGACTGGGCTCTCTGTGTTAGCTAAGAGAAGCTGGAGAGTCTAGGTCTGCTCATGGTTTCAATGAGGAGCCAAAGAATTAAGGTCGTTGAGGAAAATGAAAGGGACAGTAAGAAAGAGAACTAATTTGGCTTATGTCCCTGCAACTTCCTGGCTCAGCCGCGGTTCCCCATGCAGCGACTCAACCGGACACTCATGCCATCACACAGCCACGAAGAGCACCGAGCCGCCCTCTGCCTTGTCTTGGACTACTGTGATCACCTCACAGAACTCCCTGTGCCCACTCTTACCTTCCTCGAATCTCTTTCCACATTTGTAGCTTGAAATGAAAATCTGATCATATTACTCTCTCGGTTCTAACTGAGCAGTGGTTTTGCGCAGCTCACAGGATAAAGCAAACACCCTCCAGTGGCCAACACCCCTACAGGCTCTGGGTCGGCCCACACTTTCTCTCGTGCTCTCCAACTTCCAGCCACACTGGCCATACAGTTCCCCGAAAGGGCCTTGTTCCAGATCCTTCCTCCGCCAACTTCTCCCGTCATCACGGCTCACCACACCTCACATGTCAGGCACTGCTGAGTCTGTTACGGTGCCCAGCAGCCTCCTAGCCATGATGGCTGTCTGTGCTGCACCGTCCTCGCCCTCTCCGTCCGGCTTACGCCCACTGCAGCGGGTTGTCCGGGGGACCCACCCCTCGTGCGGAGACACAGTACACTTGATTACCTCTCCAAGTCTCAGCTCAGCCTCGATCAATAAGGAAGTCTCTCCTCGGCCACAGCCGTTTCCCCTTTGTCTTCTTTCTCTGTCATTTGTCACCATTCAAATACCAATACTGTTATTTTTGCTGTTGTTATACTAATTAACACTTTCAAAACACTTTTATGATTTTAGCAGCTCATACTCAACAAATGGCAATTACTTCCAATTCCGTAATTAGCACCGTGTACATGGTCATGAGAAGGGAAGGTGACTGATTGATATTTTTCTTTATCTACACGTGTTGTTGTTATGTCTTATCAAGTCACTGGCAACTCATAGCGACACTATGTCCAGCAGCTCTGAAGCCCACCCTGTCCTGAGTCAGGCTCGCTGACTGCGACACACCTACCCCCATCGTCCCAGTTACTGTGTTAATACACTTCACCCAGGGGGTTCTCCTGTGCTGTTTTCTACCCTTCCAAGCATGACGGCCTTCTCCAAAGACTGATTTCTCCTGGCCACATGCTCAAAGAATATGAGAACCAAGAAGAAAACCTTTATGCATACTCACCTGATATTCTGGAAGCAGGAGTGGCATCCACTTCCTAAACAACTTGCCTCCGGAAACTCTATGAACTATGATAAATGTTGACAGTTGTAGAGGGGCTTCAGGCCTTTTGTTCATAGGGTCGCTATGAGTCGTGCTCGACTCAAAGGCAATCAACAACAACAACTACAACAACACGTGATATTTGGGTAAGAAAAAAACTTTTAACCAAAAGCTAAGGGAGAAATCACAAATGTATCCATTTAACTATAAAATCTGTATACAATAGAAAACTTTAACAAAATTTAAAAGCCAAATAACAAATTTCCTATCTATGATAAATGTGCATAATTTATTGTTAATGTTCAGAAAACATAAAGTGTCTATAAAAATTAATATGAAAAATACTAAAACTTGGCCTCCACTTCCAGTAACAACTAAGATCATACTGGATCAACTTTCCAGCAAATAATCACTGTTATTCTGAGCGTAACACTACAAGCAACCGCTTGAAAACACTAAAGAATGAACAAAAGCGGGCAAAGTTCAGTGGGGAATATGCACTGAGAGGCAGGATGTTGGGGAGGTGAGTCCCCATTTTCGAGGCTGGGCGGAGGGCTGAGTGCAGAGACTCTCTCAGGAGGTGCCATGGAAATCACCCCAGGACCCTCACTGCCTGGAGAACTATGAGGCCACACTCAGGAGACCATGGCCACTGGAGAGAAGAAACCCTGGAAGGGGGAGAATCATAGGGAACCCCCAAAACCTGCCTCAGCCCATTTCTG